AGTGTCATGAGGTCAGGGTTTGGACAGGACATGGCCTTGTCTTCCACCTCTCCTCTGTTCCCTCCTTTCTCTTCCAAACCCCTGCCTATCTGTCTGAGAATCTAGAGGCAGCAGCTTTGAGATGCTCTCACCCTCTTCTGTTCACTCAATTCCCATAGCCCTGATCTCCCAGTCTTCACTGTCCTCATCTGATGAGCTGGTGCCACCCTGACCTTGGAACTCACACCAAGCGTAACTGTTTCATCCATTAAAAACACAGGGCTTTCTAGTTGTGGGATCCTTCCTCAAGCCATTGCACTTTGCCTTCAAAACTACACACAGAAAAATAGATGGAGGAACTGATTTGCAGACAATCTTTTATGACTGGACAGGGGAAATTCTATCCTGATAATCTCCAAGACTTTCTGTTGGCTTTACTGGGCTACTGTATTTTATCACATTGGTTGACTATCTTCTGGACTGCAAAAGACAAACTGTCACATGTTTACCCTTGAATTTTGGACACATGAAGTCCCATAGTAGCTTTTTTCAATACCTGCTCTGTAGCTTAGATGCCAGGCTATGGTGTTTCACAAGGTACAGGATTGTGATCTACCTTAATATCTATACAAAGCTGCTAAGTGAAATCACTGGGAAATGTGGAGTACAATGTCATCTGTATGCTGATAAAATACAAAGGAAGGTGTTAATTAAGAGCCAGTGAGTTTTTTCTATTCCAATCAATCATTTTACGCTCAAGAAAAAAGTTGCTTAACTAATTCAAAACAATGGTGGGTGATCCTGTTGTGGAGGGGTCTGAAAATATGACTGTGAGATCTTTGGAGTTCTATCAATCAGGTAAATAGTCTTAAATTGCTCCTGGATTCAGCTTGCTGGGGAGATAAGTAGCCACAATCACTACAGAAACCTAGCATCAGTTTCATCTGTACTGGAAGATTAAAATTTGACAGATGTTACCTGTGTTTTCATTAACCACATGGTTTAACTACTGTAATAAGTGTTTTATAGTGGATTAACCTTGAGGACCCTACAGAAGCTGCTACATATGTATCATATGTACTATCTCAGCTCTCTTCCTGTAAAAAGAGGAAAGCACATTTAGGACATAATTCTAAGCATATTTAAGCAGAAAAAAAGCCCAACAGTTCTCAGCTTTCTGACAGCCGGCTTCAGCACCCATTTTAAAAAGTTGGCACTGACTTGTAAACTCGAATTGGGTAAAATGAAAAACCCCAGAAAGGATGTGAAAAGGCAAAAACCAATGAGGGAACAAAAATAAAGCATTCACAAAGCATTTAACATAGGTCAAGGAAGTCTATAGAGCAATGTACAAAATTTGATATGATATGAATGCATGTTACTGTATTGTAAAAATATGTATATACAACATAACTACAACAATATAACTATTTATCATAAACTTTAAAATGTAACAAAATAGCAGCTCAAAGATCTTTTTATTAAAGATCAAACCCAATGCCTTATACTGAATTATAACATATCTCAGGAATAAACATTTTCAGTGTGGTCAAATCTGATAACATTTGTTTTTCAAATTCTAGTCTCTTGTGCTATACCACCCCCTCCCCAAAAAAAGGCCAAAATATTAAATGCACAAACCCCAACTGGAAACAGCATTTTTTTAGAGTACTGTTGCAAGGCTCTTATGATAAAATTGAATATTTTTATATGAAGGGTCTTCAAAAAGTTTCCGCACTTTTATATTTTAAAAAAATATTTTATATATTTTCGGCTGATGGCGTTAAAAAGTTGGTATGACACTGGGAAAAATGCATTGCAAAGAAAGGTGACTATGTAGAAAAGTGATGTAATTTGTTTTTGACATTCTTAATAAGAGTTTTTAAAAGTGTGGAAACTTTTTGAAGACCCCTCGTATTATCACATTTGAGCTGTTTATTTTTGTAGAATTAAAATGCCTGTTTTGCTTACCAGATTATAAACCATTTGCAAGGTGGGCCTACATACACTGACAACCCTCACCCAGGTCTATTAGTTCTATGGGAAATACTCTCTTAAAGATCCTGACATTGCAAAAAGAATGTCTAGCACAATAGAATATGGGTTCATCTACCTAGAGTCTTTGGAATTCTCTTCTGGATGAACTATCCAAATGTCCATTCATCCAGCCTTCTCAGAAACATCATACGGCGTACTTGTTTGTCAGGAATGACAAGGGTGAATTTTTATTACTGATGTTTATTGATGCTAAACTGTCTGTAACACACCAGAGGGCTTTCACTGTTGACCTTTTTAGAGGAAATTTTTACACTTTTGATGAACTGAAAAGGTATGATATTAAATCAATGTTTGATTCCTTATTTTGTACTCACGAAGTAATTTGAAAGTAGATGTTTTTAAGTGAAGTAAACTCTTACACACAGTGGAGTTCTAACTCAGATTCTAAACAGTGGAGTTCTATCACATGCTCAATCAAACTGCCCACTAAGCCAATTAACTGAGTGTAGTAATTTGTCTAAACAAGCCAACCTCAAACCATGGCTTGTTTTAACTTGTTCAAATAAACTGTATTTCCAAGAGAGGTGATCTGATGCTTTCTAGATGTGTTAATTACAACTTACATAAGCACTGGTCAGGGGGACTAATGTTCATGAATTATTGGAGTTATAGCCCAAAACATCTAGAGGGCAGCAAGTTATTTTTCTCTAATACAGTTAAAACTAATCACAGCTCTTGATTCAGAACTGCAGTTTATTGAAAATAAAAGCAAATGCTTCTGATCTCACAGCTGCAATGGGAGAGTGCATGAATACAAGGCTCTTTCATAGAGTAGTTTAGGATTGTGTCTAAACACAATCAGAACCATCTCAAACAAGTCACTGGGACAAACTTCAAATATTAAAAATAGTTATAGTTATGCTCTGTTCTTACTGGCCTTAGGTCACAGCAACCTGGGACAAGAGCAAGAAAAGTCCACTAAGAAAGTTTGATCCTGGAATGTTCTTCTAAACAATGTACTCTCCATTTCCTTAAAGAAGATTACAAAGAGAGTGGCTTGTGCATGTTCTCACTGACTTAAGTATGCTTTACAGGAAGTGTTCTCCATATATAAAATAAAATAAAATATTTATTTTATGCTGTGAGCCGCCCCAAGGCTTCGGCAAGGGGCGGCATAGAAATGTTTTAATAAATAAATATATGAGTCTCTCTCTGCCTTTGAATCTGTTTGATCTAAAAGCCTTCCAGTTTTCTCAGAATTCAGTCACATTTGCCTCACCTTTGTTTTACAGATAGACATACTGAAGTCAATTCATTTTTTTCTTCATTTAGTGTTGCCTGTCCCAGCCAGAAGAAAGCCCCCAATATGAACATTTGCCCTACATCCAGCCTTCCAAAAACTTTGTAGGACAGTTCCTGTAAGCTTATTTACTATATTTTTGTTCATCACATTGATATCAACAATACCAAAGCTGCTACCCCAAAGTAATTCTTGATATCCAAAAAGGTTCAGGAGGGTATCTGCCAATTTTATATTTCTTACTTGGTCTGTCACCTCCTCAGGTGGTCAGGCATAATAGCAAGCATATAGAATGTCTTCACCCCCACAAATTGAAGAGGATATCTTTAATTCACTTTAATACACCAGACTAGAAGTTCTAATACACTTTTTACAATCTTCTCAAAAACCATTGTGAAGATAACTATTTTGTGTGCCTATATAGATTTACACGTCTATACCAAAAAGAAAAATTCTTCCTCCTGTCATTTTCATGAATACAAGTGAAAAATCTATAGAGGATATGAGAGAGATTGTATGAGCTGATTCAGATAACATGAGAGCCTACTGAGCATTCATTAATGCTCAAGATGCAACTGTACATGCTGTTCAGTATTATGGATATGCAAGACATGACCAGGGGTGGCTATGACTGATGTTATGTGAACCTGGCCTGATTAACTTGAGAGTTAAACAACCTAGGCTAAATTCATGATCTATTTTAGGGTTACACAAGGGTTGCTTAACAACCAAATAATCCTCACTGGCCATGTCTGCACTTCAGGTTGGGGCATCCATTTTCATAATGGAAATTGACATGCACTACAGCTCCTTGCAGATAAATTAATTAATGTTGTGATATGCAGAATGCCCAGAGAAATGGAGACCAACAGATAGAACGGCTGTTGCAGGACAGGAAAACCAACCATTAATTATTTATACATGGTGAGGCTGTAGAATGTGTGGAGCGCATGCAACTACCATTTTGAATACACACCTTGTATTTGGTGTAATTACCTGTCATTTCGAGAGGCTTATATGCCTCCGCTATTTGAAACTACCAAACATTCCAATCACTACTACCCACCCACTGCTGTCCCAAAATATATACGATTCCTCATTTCCCAAAACCTTCTACATAATCACACATATCTCAAGTACCACTCCTATGCCAGCTCACTGGGCAGTAGCAGCGGCAGCTGCTGAGCTGTTTTTCCCTTCTGGGGTTAGCAAGTCACGAATATAGAGTGGGAAAGTCGGGGTATTTTCCTACAGAATGAGGCTCAGACCACTAACGAGAAGAGGAAATGATCATCGGGAGAGATGAGCCGAGACACAAGGGCTAGGAATAATCACATGCTCCTCTGGCTGCCTACCAAAGACTAGTCCACCCAGACCCAATGGGTCTTACCAGTATACCGCATGGAAAAGGAAAGGCCTACAACTGTCAAGCCGAACAGGCTGAAACCCACCAAAGCTTCCTTCTGCTCACCCGCAAACCACCCAACAATCCACACCATAGGTAACGACCCTCAACAACAGACTTGAGACCGTCTTCCCCATCTCCCATGCGCTTTACCGGACACGAGACCTAAGAAAGGCCGGGGCTTGGAGAGAGGCCTAGACGCGTTCACGAGGAAGGGCCGCGACAACAGGACGGACATAGGGCGGGAAGGAAAAGCAGAAATTCAGCAAGCGGTCGCGTCCAAAGACGAAGGCGAGGGATCAACAGTACTCGGCTTACCTGAGGTCGCAGACAGAGAATCTCTCGAACCCAAAGCCTATCCTCAGCCTCAACAACACAAGATGGCTGCCGCGCCGCCACGCAAGGTCATGTGATCGCGCGGCCGAAGCTCCACCCCCTTTTCTCCGCAGGCCGGGGCCGGGAAACTGGCAGGTGGCATGAGAAAGCACTTTCGAAAGTGGGCGCCGCTGTTGGCAGCCCTGATTGGAACTGCCCTTTCTTGGAGGAACTGAATCCCAAGGCGTTTGGGTTGTGCTCCTCTTAACTACGCTGGAAGAGTTCCTCTCCTCCGGCACCCTCCCCGCTTCTCCGTCTCAAGCGTATACTGATGGTGGGGGAGGGGCGCGCGGAAAAACTACTTTGGCTGGATGATTGGGGGCAATTAATTCGTGAGAAAGGATGATCATGAGGATCTTCTGTAGTCTGTCCCTGTTAAGAGGACATCATAGTGCAATATTATTGCTATTGATCATTACTATTCTCGACAAGCAGGCAAGGGTGCATACACTGGACATACTGATATATACAAACTACCAGTCCGTTTGAGAAATCCACACATGGGAAAGCCCAGGCAAGAACATGTCATCTAAGGTACACATTCTTACGAATATGTTTTAGCGTTAAGGTTCTGTTTTTATCCTGCCTTTCTACAAAGCAGCCCAAGCAATATATGTAGTTCTTTCCTCTCGCTTCTTCTCTGCTTTATCTGCACAACAACCTGTGAGGTAGTGTGTGTGGATGACCCAAAGGCATCTAAGGAGCTTCATGGCTGAACAGAGATTTGGATCTGACTCTCCCCGGTTTTCTTGTGATACAAAAACCACCACATACTGGTTCCTCTTGTACTGTGATCATATTGAACAGAATTAATGGAGCAGGAGCCTTCCAGAAGGAAGTAAGATAGGCTTTTGTACTGGGATTAATAAGAGTTAACTGTCATCCTCCAACTCAGTATTTAAGCACAGATGTAGATTATTCTTCCCATACATATAACACATTACTTTTGAGTAGTATGTTAGAATACCATCAACCTTTGGCCCACAACTACTAGTACATATTTGGATTTTTACACTATGCAAAAGTAAAGATTAGGAAAATGGTTACCTCCATTTTATTAATTAACTAGGAGACTGGGAACTTGCAGCCTGTGATTTTTTTCTGTGTGGCTCTCTAGGCCTGCTCTGGAGAGTGTGGGCTCACTCTTTCAACTTTTGTGATACAAAACCAATACAATTCTTACAAATTTAGATACCCTGTGCATTCAAGAACTTCTGAGAATTACATACGGTGGAACTGTGGACAATTTATGTATCAGTTTGTCTAAGGAGTAATGTAGAATATATGGCTTAAGTTCTAAATCAGGTGAACAGAAGTAGATCTCCAGATGTTTGGCTCTTCAGTTCCCAGAAGCCTCTACCACCAAGGTTAATGATAAAGAATAAAAATGTCTTGAAATCCCAAGACATGTAGAAAGTTACTTTCTGCCTATCCCTTCTCTAAAGAATGTATGTACAGTAAGCAGAGGAAAGGGAATTCCTTTGGTGGGCTAGTTATAGACTTCCAGAAATTTAGGCTACAAAACCCAGCAGAGCAGAGCCAATTATGACTGATGGGAGTTGTAGGTCAGTAATCTGAAAGGCCACAAATTAGTCAGCTGCACTATAAATTGATTCCAAAGGAAAAGTCCAAATAAAAGTTAATTCCACTTCTACTGTTGTACTCTTTTGAGGTAGGTGTGTTTTGTTATGAAGGTATGTTTAGCTGCAAAGTCATTTTCTCATTTGCTAGCTAAACCTCTGACATCCAAACTGGAGAATATTGTATTTCAATATTCAGTAAGACAGTTTTTACCAAGAAGTGAAAACTTTCACTTTACAAATGCCCATACAAAAGGGACTTTGCTCTATAATAAGCTCTAATCCAGAGGCCAAGAAAGCAGTATCTCTGCATATGCTCTGAAATCCAAGGTTCTAATTCAGTAGGTAACAAAAGTGATCAAGACTTATTTGATCTGGAATTCCACAATTTTAGCCTTTAATTTACTGTTTTCTCTTTTTTCCCCAATAAACTTCTTTTACCTGGGCATTTGGTTGTTTTAAAAGGAAATTTCTCATGAAGACCTTGCCCACATACAGGACTACACAGTTTTAAAGTTACGTCTGAGTTTCTGCACTAGAAAATCTAAAGCACCTTGCTGCTTCTTTTGTAGAGCTGGACTGAAGAAATGACTCCTTGGCAATAAGGTTCAGAAGTTTTCCCAGGTTGCTGACAGGAAATTCAGCTTGACTTCCTGTAGCCTCTCATACATTTTAGGGTAACCCTTGTAAAGAAGTCCACCAAAAGGAAAAGTCATCCTCACTCCCAAATTTGTAACATTATACAGACATTCTTATGTATGTAGAACTGCATTGTATGTTGCAACATATTTTTCTTGTTCTGAGTTTTTACTCCTCAGCTCAATTATCTGCTGTATGCACCAGATCACATGCCAGTCCAGATTATTCCATGCCACTTAGAAGGAGCGCTTACGTCCATATATGCCCAGCCGCCCCTTGAGATCAGCGGGAGCCCTCAGTGAAGGAAATTAGGAGGGTGGCTACTCGGAGGAGGGCTTTCTCAGCGGTGGCGCCTAAGTTATGGAATGCGCTCCCCAGAGAGGTCCGCCTGGCGCCGTCGTTGTTTTTCGGTGCCAGGCGAAGACCTTTTTATTTAAGCAGCATATCTCTAGGCCCCCTTCCCGCCCAAACTCACCAGGGCCTCCTCTTTGCAGCAAGGAAATGCCAGAGATTTCCCTCACTGGATGGACAGGGCAAGGCAGCCTTTTCCGAAGGCCTCCCTCCCTAGGATGATGACAGGTAATTTTAAAAAATGAGTAGGTTTTATGGCAGTGTCTTTGTAAGTAAGGGTTGTTCATAACTTGGATGTTCATAACTCAAGGACTGCCTGTATATCAATGCTAAGTAACTCAAAAGGCTTCCTTACAAGAAAAAAATCATTTATTTATTATTTGCATTTATATACCACCGTAATAGCCCAGAGGGCTCTCTGGGTAGTTTATATCTTGCTGAGTATGTATCTTGCTGAGTTTGTATCACATGGCAATCCATCATGGGTAATTAGCATTGGTGGGCTGTCTTGTACAAACCTAGTCCACTTTCTAAGGGGAGATTTGTCTGGTGGCAACCAACCACCGTGGGGGCTTGTTCTGGGGGCTCTTGGACCCATATGTGTCATTCAACCCTGGCAGTCTAAGCCCACTGCATGGACTTGGATAACTCCATACAAGCTCAGCCTCACTGGAGAGGTAGTTAACCACTAGGTAGTAGCGGTAAATAGAAGTTTGTTTCTACTTACAAACAAGAATAACGCAACACAGAATCTACAACAGTCAGCCACAGGAGAATAGAATCTGCAGTAAGAACTTTATTTGTTCTTACTTGTCTGTTCTTCTTAATGTATCACTCATTTAACAGCTGTGTGTTTTCTTTGGACAGTAGCATTTACTGTGTAAGTACCAGTACAATGCTCAAAGATCTTCCAGGAAGTGGCATTTAAACAGGAATGTAAGCAACAGAACCTGTTCCTATTTTAATAAGGCAGAATAGACATTCAATTAAATGAGCTGTGTCTTACCTTTAATTCTTCTTCTGATAACTTTTTTTTTTTGCCCAAAGGCAATTGCACTATGCAAGAAAAAATTACAAACTGTTTTCTCTAGTTTTCTCATTTAGTTAAAAAAATTGAATGCCCACATGCCAGAAGCAAACATAATCAGAATTAAAGGCACTTACTGATCCAGAAGGTTCCACAGTAGTTTTACCAATGGAGAGAGGACATTACAAATAATTGGATCAATGATATTACATTCAAAAGTCCGCTATGGGTTGAACACACCCATTAGAAACAAAGTCAAGGTTTTCTTCAGCTGATAAGAATCAACTATATATAATCATTTGATTCATATTTGTAGAAAGTGGCTTAGTACAGTAAGCAATGTACCATTCTAGTAATCATTCTGTGCTGTCATAAAAATAATCATAATAGGAATTCCACAATGGCCTAAAAATTTTGATTTAGGTGCAAATGTGAACATATTTTCCAAGTAGAAAGCAAGACCACATCTGACCACATCTGAAGAATGAGACAGAAAAACAGATTTCAAGTCAGCCTTTGGCAAGTTAAAAATGTTTATTTGTATACTATACAACAGAAAAGAAAAAAAAATGATTCCAAATTTGTAATGTATAAAAACATTTATTATAAATATTTTAGCTAAAACATGTGATTTTTATCAAATATAATTTGTGGACTTGCAAATACAGTTTTAATTGTTTAGCAATTCTCCCACCCATTATTAAATAGTAGATGGGCTCCCTTTTATTATTCCACACTCACAGTTTAGTATCACAGTGTAAAAAGCTAAAAAGATTTTTAAAAATAAAGAGATGGAGTTAACTGGTTTGCAATTTATGGACAAGGCTGGCAAGAAATAGGACATTCTTCTTTTCTATATATGCAGACACACACGTAGAAACAAAAGTTTAAATCTGAATACAAACTTGTTGAGTAGTATAACATGCCACTTTTTGTATCTGGAATATTTTCAGTTTTTCCTCCTACAAGAAGAAACTGCTGAAACTGTTTTATGTTAACAATACCTGTAGAAGTAGTTGCATTCCCACCCATGACCACAAGAAAAATAAAGGTTTCTGGCATGGAAAATTAATGTGCCCCCAAACCATATTATCTACTTCTTTGGACCCATTATTGATATCCACTTGGTTTTTAGAAAGATGGAAACAGCTAACAAAAAACAAACCCCTCATGGAAACAGCCATGGACCCATGAAGAATATGAAAAAGAATATCAAAAGCCCTAACCCATTGTTAGTCCTGTTTCTTGCTCACACTACAGTCATTTGGAATGGAAAAAAATGGTGACTGCTGTATGCTTGAACAGAACATGTATGAGAAAATCAAAAAGTGGCTTGGATCCGGAAAGCACAAGTGGAATTTTACCTGTGCAACAGGGCTTTCCTGCCCCCTCTTTCCAGATGCACTCCCTGGTGGCCCATGAAAACCTGCTTTTAAGGTTTGGAGGACAATGAGAGTTGCTGCAGGAGGGAGGAATTGACATAAAGGGGGCATGCCTTGCATGAGAGACAAGGCTTTCCACTAATGCAAGAAGATCATTGGATCACAACCACTATCTATTAATTGATTACCAGTACCACCTGCATGGCCATGCCTGTCTCAGAAGCCTATTTTTTAGGATGCTGAGCACAATGTGGGGAATTAGGTCCCAGGAATTTGTTAGTACATGAAAGAACCACAAATGGTAGCTAGAAGAATTCCATCTGCCCCATCACTGTCACTTCTCTGGAAGGAAACCATCATTTTGTGAAATTAAGGAAGAGCCAAAAGGCATATAGAAAAGAATCCTATGCAGCTGCGAGTCGGGGGATTCAGAATAATATGCAGTATTTTCTAGATGTAATTGGTCAGCACTCTTTTTATTCACCAGGTGTTCCTGACCTGGGGTTTCAACATTAAGATATTCTAATTTTGCTAACTCATGCCCATTAAAATGAAGGGGTTCCTCTTAGTATTTGCATTATTCAGAGTGTGGGAGGGGAGGGGAGGGGAGGGGAGGCATCAAACCAGGTTTGTTTCCTCTCCAGGTAAGCATCTAGTCAAAGGCAAAACTTGTAAGAATGTACACCAGCCTCAGGTCAGCTGATCAGCTGCCTCAGTTATTGACTAAAGGCAGACTTGAGCTCTCGGAAGGCTGCTCTGCGGTGCCTCCTTTCCTCTTCCTCACGTTTTCGCTCATCTTGTTCTGCTTTTATTTCTGCTTCAAACTTGCTAGCTGAAGACAACGCTTGAACCTAAAAATACAGCAGTAGAAAGTAGCACAAGGAAAGGATGAAGGGCTAGAGATGCATACTGCATGATTACTTCTCCAAGATTATGGGTTTCAGTTTTCTATGGGTGCTAAGCATGCTGTTCCACAGACCTAATAAAACAGCTTCACTGGGAAATCCTAACACTCTGCTCCTGATAAAAAAACATAGCCTATGGATGGATGCATATAGATACCAAAGACCAGGAATCATAGCCCATTTTCCCTTGCAGTAAAACAGTTGAAACATTGAAATATGGGTGGAGTACGTGCTTTTCTGATATCACCAATCTGAGCCAGAGTTACACACAGCTGGCTTCCAGTACAGCAGGAGAACAGAGTATCAGGCCTGGGGAACAAATGTAGCCCAGCTGAGCCCTCCCTGGTTCCCCAGATGGGCTTGCCCCCTGCCTCTGGTCTCTCCTCTCCATGCTTTCAACCTCCAAACACTTAGTATTTTTCTAGCGTTTGTGTGGTTTCTCCCCATTCTAAAAGGTTGGAATGCCTCTCCTAAGGGTTATAGACTGAATGCAAGAGCTTTCAGCTAAAATACACTGGGATTTTTGTCCCACCCTTTTAATCTTTAGTCAAGTTCAGCTCTAGAAAGTGGCTCTTGAAAGCTTCTCCATAATGGCATTCAGTCCTCAGGCCGAAACAATTCAATACCCCATGAAACACTCACATAGAATTTGTTCCCCTGAACCTGAACAGGGAAAGGGGTGGCACATTTATGTAGTTCTTGTGCTTACCTGAGGGAGTCACTCTCTTATTATGTATTACTGCTTGCATCTGACAGACTCATAACTCAGAATGGGCACCTCAGGGACATCTTGTGCTGCAAACCAACTGGGTTTTTCAGATGTTGACCATTTCTCTTAACACTGCATGATACGACTGACATTGGATCTTGTCTAAAAGTTGGCTCTAAAAGTTATTTCCATCCAGGTGATGGGAGTGACAGTGTGAACAAAGTGGAATTTTGGTTGAGTCCTAGAATATGGGTAGATGCCCTAACTGGACATAGTCAGTTTGCGTTATTCTAAAACATGAGAGTTTTAGACTTTATCTTGTTACCATGCTGCAGGATTATAGCATCACTTTACCCTATAAAGTTCCACTAATCTAGCCTAACAAGTCTTGTGTATACAAGTAGAGTTACCTGCAGAATGTGATGAATCATGTTATGCGTTCATAGTATGAGTGAGCATGGAAATTATACTGCTGGCTGGGTTCACACACATGGCAACAATCCACACTCAAGGTAGAATACATACAAAAAAAGCCAGTGTGGTTAAGAGCGCAGGACTGGGACTCAAGTGATCTGGCTTCTAGTCCCTGCTCAGTCCTGGAGGCAACTGAGTGACTTTGGGCCAGTCACAGACTCTCAGTCCAGCCTACCTCACAGGGTTGCTGTTGTGGGGATAAGAGGGAGAGCAGGAAGAAGAGAATGATGCTAGCTGCTCTTAGTTCTTTGTAAGAAAAAAGGTGTGATATAAATCCATTGAATAAATAATGTGAGTTATTTATTACACTTCTATACCACCTCACAGCTGAAGCTCTCTGGGAGGATTGAGTTTGGGTAGTTGTTGAACCACAAGTGGCTGTGCTGTACAGACCCACTAAACTAACAACAAGCCCACAGTTCACATACCAACAAAACCCACTTTTCTCTTTGTGGAATACTCAAGGTTAACCCATGGTTTATTAACTTGGTTAGGTTCATACAACACAACTGCCCAGAGTTCAACAACAATCCACCTTTTAATGACAATCCACACCAAGTATATTCTCAACCTTGAGTGTACGCCAAGCCAGTCTCTTAAAATTAGCCAATAAAAGAACTGACAGGCCCACATATCACCAGACCGGCTGGCTATTACTTTCACTATAAGCCATAAGAAAGGGAACATGCACCCAGTAAATCAGATTCATTCATCATTGCTCCAGCTGACCTAAAACAAACTACATTTTCTGCTTTTAACATAACACTGTGGCTTACCACAAAAGCAATAACATTGGCAGATGTACACCTTCCCTTGTGCTCTAGATAGCAACTAACCTGCACTGCACTACTATGCAGTTTCTCAGAAAATTCACTCACTCTCTTAGAATAAACTTATTGCAGTCTAAGAATTATGGACATACAAAAAGCTGTCTTTTTCCCTCACCCCACCACTCTCATCTTTCTTCTTTATTACCTTTGCTTCGAAGAAGTTTTTGGCTCCTTTTACTCCTTCAAGGGCGACATCTATTTCAGAGAGTTTTGCCAAAGCCATCAAGCCACTGTCTTCTTCAAGTTCTCCAGCTGCAGCTTTGTGAAAAATTAGCAAGAACTATGCAAAAAAGAAAGCATGCAAATCAATCACTTAGAAATTGCCTAATATGTAATTCTTAGTTTTCACACTTATAGAAAATCAGCAGTAACATTCTGTCTTAACTGAGAAAGCTTATTTATTTAGGGCTAAAAGCTCTAAAATACTGAAATATAGTATAATCCTGGAAACATGTGGCTGGATTTCCTAGCATTTTTTTTTAGTTTAAAAAGGTCATGTGGGGATGGAGGGAATCACCAAATTTGATCTGAGCTGTAGCAATGCTGAAAGATGGGTTTAAAGTTCTCATTCATGCTAATTCCTTAATCTAAAGTATCCTTTCCACCAGGAGTAACATCAGTGCCTGTTACTTTCGGGAAGCTGTCAGGTTCCCAGTATTTGGGCAGGGCCCATTGCTGATGCCATTGCTGATGCTTTCCCTTATTTTTTGTTTTCCTGACTGCCATTTTAAAATTTCCACCGATGTCCCTTACATTGTATTGTTCCAAGGCACTGTAGGAAATTGGAAGGGTGGCTAGTTCCAGTCACTCTGTGCTGGTTGGAGTACTGCTACTGCAACCTTAAAATCTTTCCAGAGTCCCCCAGAAGACAGTTGCCCATGGCCCTCCCAAACCTGGAGCCAGCCCTGCTTCAACCCAAAGCTGCTGCACAGCATCTGCTGCGGATGCAGGGTTAGGTTGGTGAAACAGCATGTTAGGAAAGGATGAACCAGATTTTCCTCCATCTCCATGGCTCTGAACAAATCTAAGGCCCCTCATAGCCGTTTTTATATTTTTTAAAAGTAAATATTCACAGAACACAGGTCTCCCACATGTCATTTGGTTTGGCTCTCAGAATATCTTATTTTATACTACAGAGATGTTTACTGCTTCTTTAGATCAAGTTCAATATATATCACAGACTGGCAAACTTTAGGCCAAACATCCTTGTTTTGGCAGTGAGAATACAGATTTTGCATCTGCTACTTCACAGTCTATGTCCATGTTGTAGACAGTCATCTCAATGGTTGGCTTGAAGTATGTATATGCAGTGAACAGACTGTTGGCTTCACAAAATTCTATGAGTCATTCTCCAGCTTTATTTCTTACCACAAGGCCAAATTGCCCTTCAATTCTGTTTTGTTTCTTACTGTTGCATTCCAATCACCTAGGATTAGCAGAATGTCTTGTTTTGGTGTGTTATTAATTTCCTCTTGAACACCTGCATAATAGTTTGCAATTTCTTCCTCTTTGAAATCATTCCTTTCTGACATTCTCAAAACCCCTGAACACAATGTGTGCATCCTAAAGGTGAGGGCTAGCATATCTGGGGAAAACTGGCAGGGAACAGCATAGTAATCTTGGAAGCAAAAATAAGGCTTTTGCAGAGACCCTCCAAGGGCCACATTTTACCATTATTACATACAAACCATTCAGATTTCAAATTATCTGTATTTGGTTAGCAGTGATTTCAGTATTCAACCAGTCCAAAGCTCCATTCCTTCACTAGAGGGCAGCAGAGCCTTGGGTTGAGAGAAGTTCTATCCAGTTCTTTTTATCACAAAGTTCAGCATCTGGGCAGAACCCTTTGTTCCAAAGCTTGCTCTCTCTCTCTCTCTCTCTTCCCAGCTGCTTACTAATGTGGTGTTTGAAATAGATGTTGAAAAATTCCCAAAGGCTCTCAGGGATGGGTGGGAAAAGATTACAAAACTGCTAGGCTGTTTTCCTGCCTCAAGGATGGCGTATAAAGGATGGGTGTATTCACCCAACTGCTTGGTTAATTTTGCTGGGACATAGCTTGACATGTCCTTATACTGAATCACATTCTCAGTTTCAACACATCTCAAAACCACAACATTGCCAGGATTACACAGCTATGACTCACATGGAGCTAGAAACTGGGGTGAAGCAGAGGGAGGTGCTCTCTGGCTTGGCACCCTATTTCTAGATTCCCATCATTTGCTACTGAAACTTTTCTGCAGCTGCAGAATGTAAACCATTCTAAAGCCGGTGTCCAACACTATGACAGGCCTTTAGTTCTTTTTATGTCACTACTGTGTTATCTGGCTGGGAATGGCTCACCAGAGTATCAGGCAGAGTTCTTCTTTTCTAGCCTAACCAAGATCTTTTTAGAAGAGACTGAAGCAGGAACAAACTCGGTTTTCATTACTGACGTATGGATGAGCTTAGAAGAATGAATTTTCAGTGGCTACATGCACCTGGGATATCAATGCAACACCAACACAAAACTGATACTCAGCATGGAGGTAATCTGTAAGCATCCTTGCTCTCTCACCAAGAATCCTATGTAGTCAGTTGCAAATTTTGACAAATGTATACCATGTAGAGTTGCAATGCTCTTCCCTGGAATCCAGCCCTCTTCTGTCCATCAGGGTTCATCTCGCGTTCAACCCTTGCTTAGGAAGCAAGCTGAGCTGAATGGACTTCAGCAACAAACACTTGCTAAAGTCCAGGTACACAACCAGCAACTTTCTTCCACAGTGTGTGCCACACAAACAAGTTATGAGCACAGAAAAGGGACACCATTTGTGCAGTGTTTACATTGGTTTGTTTTCTCACAGGCACCCATGCTAATGATCACAAGTAGGGATGTGCTGAGCCTCTCAGGATTCCAGTTCACACTTGTCCATCGTGTTCACACTTCTTCTGGTGCTTGCCCCTCTCTAAGGAAGAGAGAGGAGCCTGGAAAATGTCTGCAGGCATTCATAGACTTGATTGCACAACCAGCAACCTTCCCCACATGCCATTCCCATTTGCCAACTTTCTTCTCGACTCACAGCAACACAGGGGGAAAAAGATACAATAAGCAGGTGCACCAGCTGCCATTCTTAGCAGCCAACTTCCTTTCCCACTCACTGGGAGCACATGGGGAAAAGGGGTGCAGCAAGCAGGTGCATCTGATGGGAATGAAAGGGACAGTTATTCTTGGTGTGCTTTCCAAGGTCAGACACATTTGGACAGATAAAGAGTGGCCCTGAGAACCAGAATTCTTGGATGCTGAAACTGAAGAAGCAGAGGGGCTTAGTTCAAGGGCACCCTTCCCAGGAGTTCAGGACACTGAGAATGCTCAGGATTTGCAACGCCAAGGAGGGGGCATGGGAGAAGAATTCCTGCAGCCCAACTCAGCCTAGTACAACTCTTGGCTCCAACTAGAGGAGTGATGGACAAAGAGGAGGCTTGCCTGTCTCCAAAAGGGTCTTCCCCAAGGGAGGAGGCCCAAGGGTACTCAAAAGAAAGTACATGCTAGATTGGGTTCAACAAATCACTCTGTGCATGCTCAAAGACTCATACTTGGTTGATTGTGCTTGCTAGAAGTGCACTGGAGAATAAGAGTTTTTGCTAAAGAATAGTCTGTCACTTTGGAAGTGCAAAGGAGGAAATCTAGCTCATGACACCACCAGCCACCACTCTATCCAAGGCAGATTTCTTGCACATCCCTACTCACCAGGAAGTTGTACTCATGGCCACAAGAAAGCATTCCAGAGTCCAAAGAGATGAACCCAGGAAATCCAATGGATTTTATTTTTATTGAGTAATTGACTGATAATATTTATAGCCTGCCTTTTTCTCTTCCAAGGAACTCAAGGTGACTTACATAGTTGTTCTCCTCCTCTCAATCCTATCCTCACTACAACCACCCTGTGGGTAGAGCTGAGAGTCTGTGATTGGCCCAAAGTCACCCAAGCGAGCTCCATGGCTTTGCAGGGATTAGAATCCAGATCTTCTGAGCCATTGTCTTGCATCTTTCCTCACTACAGCACACTGGCTCTCACCACTACCCAAATTTCCCACTCTCTTACACACACCTAACAACATCCACCCTGTAGCATCATGGGAAGACAATGGTGACTGTCCACTGGCCCAGAGAGCCAAGGGCCACTAGTAGGCTGCTTCCCCCTGCTTCTCAGGAAGAACATCATTTGTGGCCTAACAGCAAGGTAGAACTACTGCAAATAAATAAATAAATAAATAAATAAATCTCAGACTTGATATTGTGGGCCTCCCATACAGATGGTCATGCACTGTAGGGGCTGCAACATTCTTGTCAGGGGGTAGCTTAACACAGATCCTACTCTGGACCTTGTATTCTTCTCTGGAGCCAAAATGATACTGAATCTGTAGAAATCACCTCCTGGTGCAGTTTAGACATTGAGGCTTGTTTACTTGCAGGACCAGTTACAATGGATCAAAGGACCAGTTACAATGATAAGCCTTTGGAGGCTGATGTTGCTGGATGAATTCCAGAGAGTCTGAAGGGAGTTTCCTGTGAATATAGTGGCCACTCCTGTCAATATCGCAATCACTTTCTGGCATGCAAAGATTACTTAGGTGATTGACACAATTGCTTCTAGCACCATCTCCCATGGATAGACCGTATCTAGGCGTCCCCAAGCTTTTTCTGTCAGTGGATATGGAATGTCATGGATGCTCTCACCAAATGGCTGCCATTTGGAGGGCTAGCCCATCCATACATGGGCTGCCATGGCGGGCATGTGCAGTTACAAAGCACTCATTTTCCAGAAGGTGAAGTAGTGAAACTAAACAAAGAATAACTTGTCCAAAACCTAGGTGCAAGGTAAAGATGCAGTTTCAAAAACACAAAACTATTCTCTTGGATCCAAGAAACGACAGCACAACTTTTCCAAGTAGTTCTCCAGCTATTTAGGTTTGAGTGGATGTTGGCCAGGCAAATCCAGGCATTCTTGGATGATTCAGACTCTGGAATTGAAATAGCTTTGTTTGCCCTGATGGATGGAGAACAATGGGAGGAAGATGACATGTTAGCCCTTCTGAATATTTCAATAGCATTATGGCTCCATCAGCTTTCTTTCTGGTATTGGACATTCCATGCTTCTGGTGGTGCTATTGCTATTAAAAATGGCCTTTTCCAGAAGAATGATTCTGTTAAAGTATTGCATTATCCCATGGAATTAGCAATAAACTGAATGAGAACCAACAAACTAAAGTTCAATGCAGAGAAAATGAGTATGCTGTTTGAGGGTAGCATATTTAACAGTGCTATTCAACCTGTTCTAGACAGGGGCACTTCCCCCTAAATCAAGCTTGGGTAACTGCAGGAGGTCCAGGAGCTATTTGCACATGTGCACCTTGAGATTCCAGCATAGGCTGCAGCACTGTCACAAAAAATGTGGCAAAAAATAAAAGTAATTTTTTAAAGGGTTTCTTATCAGCTAGAGAGAGTCCAAGAAGTCAAAACTCAATTTCTGGGCACAATTTAGTGTGCTGGTTTATTCTTTTAAAGCCTTAAATAGTTTAAAATTTGGATACTTAAAGGACCTTCATCTCCTACAATGACTACTTTTTTAGGCCTTTCTCTGAGTCCCTGCAGCACTGGAAATAGAGCAAGAGATGTCCCATTTTTTGGTTCCTCATCTTGCAAATTTGCTCCCCAAAGATGCTCAGCTGGTACAATATCTGTTTCCAGTGTCAGCTGAATACATTTTTATTTGTCCAGGCCTTAGACTGATCAGTTATCATTTGCTTTAATGCTATAATGTTCACCAGTCCACTTTTTATTATTGTTGTATTCTTGTTTTCTATGGTCTGCATAAAGCTGCACTAAAAGCATGAAGGCTGAAGAGGAGGGCATGGAGTTTGTTAAATTAGTAACAAACCTGTCTGTAAGTTGGGCATTGTACCCAAAGATATTTAATACAAATTTGAATAAGAAGTTCAGCTAACCAGGGAGGGCATTCCATTCAAGCCATATATACTCTTCTCTCAAGCAAAAGTAACCCACCAGATCATCAGGCAAGATGATCTGTTCCAACTCAATTCAAGATGGATTTTCAGTATGTCCAGCCCAGGTCCTTGTGGATTCCAAACTTCATGAGCTTGGCTTGGATCAATATTAGTCAGATATTCCTTCTCTTTGTTCCAATTACACCCACACAGAAGCTTTCCAGTATGTCTGATTACCAACAAGAAGCTCTTGAGATCCAAACCCAGTCTAGTCCAGGACATATCAGGATGGTCCCTGTAAGCATACTGGCATGACCAGTTGTAGGCAAATGGGGAAATAATTTAGAATATGCAGAACTGGACAGGCTTCCTTTGCTGGCTGGAAGTATTGTGAAATATGCTGTTGCACCAGCTGACACAGCCAATAAGAGCCATGTGAGAATGACTCACCAAACAGCTGGAAACAGATCATAAGTGCAAGTTGCCAAGACCAGATAATTTATGCACAGGGACAGAAGGGATTTTTTTCTATGTAAGTGGCAAATGATTTCAGCACGTTTATATTAACATGGCTTCTGAAGAGATTCCTTATTATACTAACAATTCAGGACATAATCCATGAGCCTAGAGCATGTTCAAGAGACTTACCAAGGCTTTACAAACTCTGCAGCCACCTCATGTTCTTCACAAAAGAAAGCAAAGGAAATCCCACATTGCTTCAATATGGTAGCTAAACCTCATATTAGTGTGACAAACTATTTCAATGTGACCATTATCACACTTAATGGCAACTTCACTGCACAGTTCTTATGAACATGGTATTCTTCACATAAATTTGTGACATGAATGGATTCTTCTTGAAGTGACCCAGTAAGGGTACCATTGCAATGCTATATAATGAATAGGCATGAATAGGCTGTAGATACAGGTGCTATCCTATTATGAACTTCAGTAATATATACTTTTTAGGATAATTAAAAAGAGTCCTTCCTCAAAAAAAAGCAAGACACCCAAGAACAAACAGTAGCACAGACCATATATAGAAATATGAGTAACTGTCACTAAATAGCACGTATAGATTTAGGTAAGTACTTCACCTCAACTGTGGAAATAAGAAATACCCATTCCTTCTTTTTGTCTAGTAGAGTGGGTAGAAGACAGATTCAATTCAGAAAGCAGACAATCATCTTTCAGCAATAAGACTTGTCCAGGGTAGATGTGTAAAAAGAAGGCTGGTGCACACTGGTCATGTCTATGATGCATGTTCAAATTAGTTTCAGTCTGAACAGTATCTTAAGTTCCCCCGGAGCCTCTTTCCAACCTTTCTAATCCTGACTTTCTTTCAGCCTGGGGGACAAATTCCATTTTGGAGAAGTTCTAAGGGCCCACACTGGAGTGGTAAGTGTTGCCCAAAGCATTTTGGGCGGGCCAAAATACCAAAAATGCAAGCACATTTTAACTTTTAAAGCTTTTATTGCCTATACAGTAGCCGTAGGAGTGGCTTTTCAACCCTTTAAACTAGAAAAATCTGCTCGAAAGCCAGGGAACAAGAGCATTATTTGTGGCTGGAGGTGATAGGAACAGGGCACGGCCATCTACTGAACCTTTTAGAGCCGTATCTGGTCTCTCAGGCTGAGATTCTGCACTGTTCTTGTAGCCTTTTCTAGACTTACTTCCTGGTTATAATAGATCAGAACAAAGTCACATATGGCATCCTCTTACTAAGGCTTATTTTTAAAGTGCAGTGAAAGCAGTTTCATTTCCTTGAAGGTTACATGTCAGATGAGTCACTTTTTAATTTTTCTTACTGATCTCTGAAGCTTATGATGTCATGTTTGCTCTGGTAGTGTCACCCCACTAAAAATGTCTACACAGAAAAAAGTTCAGCATAGCATTGTGTCTTTATTAACATATTCATTATCAAAAATAATTCCAATTTCATTATCTATTGTAAAAACCATAATCAAACACTTTCCAAAGTTAAAATGGGTTTCTTGTAAGGAGGATTTGGGCTGAAGGAACTAGATTAAAATGAAAATTAAGTTAGAATAGAAGTAGAGATGGAAGGGGCTTATAACACTAGTACGTCCAACTCCCTTCTCTGCTTCTACATATGCTTTCCCATCTGGTTGCAGGCCCACACTTTTCCAGCTTTGCAAGGGTGATTTGAATGGTAGCTCAGTGTATAGTAATGCAGGCAGTTAAGTAGGTCATGAACAGCAATGCAAGCAGAATGCATGAAATAGTACTCTGTCTCTTTACGACTTGCTGGGTATATGTTATTTATGTTAAGGAGAACTAACTAAGAGTGCTTAAGTCAGAGTAAGTTAGTTGGCAGAAAGGGAAACCCTGCACTAGAAATTACATTTGCTGAAACAGCACAAGCAGCACTGAAAATTGGGTGTCTACAAAATGTTGAGAAAAGAGCATAATAAGAGCATAGACTCATAAATGAAGAAAGCATATAACCAAAGGCCAGTGAGAGCCAGCATGACAGAGTAGTTAGACTGATGGACTGCGACTTAGGAGATCCAGGCTCTATTCTCCACTTGGCCATGAAGTTCACTGTGTGAACTATGGCCAATCACTGACTCTGTGCCTAATATGTTTCACAGCTTAATAAACTCCTAGCAATATTTTATAAACAAAGTACAACAGTTAAAATTATATGATAAGCAGCAACAGGGATTATAGCTAGCAGCTGAGATACAAACAAGTGCATCCATCAGAACCAGAGGAAACCAAGAAAAATCTTGGCTACTACCTAAAATGACAATAATGAAGGTTCTGGGTGCATCTCCCTTAGGAGGTAGCACTACAACAACCAAATAAATTACCTGTTTTCCTATAGAGGCTTGTCTAATCTCTCAGGAAAGGATACCAGCGAAGGGCCTCCTATGATTACTCCCATTATCCAGTATGGTCATATTTGAGCAGGCAATTTTTCTCATAGCTGTAATTTCTAGTCCTACTTACTGTGCTTGTCTTATCCAAGTCTAGTTGTCTATGGCTGAACCTGCAACTATGGCAAGCCATTATTTGTAAATAATTTTACTTTAACTTTTCCTCTGCAGCACTAGGCCTTCAAGAGCTTTAAAACTAAGTGTTCCAATAACTGGAATGTCATCAGTCTGAAGAGAATCTTCCAGGTCCACGCAAAGATCCTTGAGATCCTTCAGTGCTGTCCTGTATTGAATGCCCTCTTTTATTAATATAAACATGTTGCTAAATCTGACCTGTAGGTGTTTATCTGGTTTTATTCATACCTTCAGGTCATTCCACAAACTGAACTTTTTAAATTTTTTGTTTTTGTAGAACTAATGGGACCATATTCAAAACAGAGTATCTTAAAAGAAGGAACTCAAAGTTGTGCCAACACTGAGAAGGGACAAGCAGCATGTGGTGGCGAAGTTCCACATCCTTATTCCTCTTTTTATTTTGCAATATATTTATTTCTTGCTGGAATTTACCTCACGGAAACTGAGTTTGCCATCAAAGTCTTCATCTACTTCCTTGATCATATTCTTCAGGCCCAAATGGGTTTGAGGTGCACCAAGCTTCTCCATCATCAGCTTCAGTTCCATAAGGTCAATGTAACCATCCTTCCCAGAATCATACCTAAATGAAATAAAAAAGAAGGGACATGATTCTGTGGAATGGCTTTCAGTTTGAGGATCACTCAATGGTTTCTTATCCAATACATGTCTGGTCCAAGAGATTTTGCTGTCTTAAGCAGAATCTGTACAGCATTTCTCCCTGCCCCCAACTCCAATATGGTCAAGACTTTAAAAAAATAAGTTGCTGTACTGTTCAGACAATTATTCCTGCCATCATCTACGAAAATCCCCAAGATCATTCAGGTCATCCTCAAGAAAGTCACTTCACTCAGACATGGCCAATTTCAGAGCCATTTATTTCCAGAGTAATCAAGTGGGTCATTTTGTAGCATTCTATGAAGAAAAATGGTAAATGTGGACAGTCTTCCCCCAAGATGTTTTGGACTTTAACATCCATGAGCCTGGCCAATGATCAGCTGTAGTCCAAAGTTGTAGTCCAAACATCTAACGGACACCAGGTTGGGATTTAAAATATTTAAACATTTAATTAATTATTTTTAGCATACCACATGGCACAGAAAATGAAGTATTGTGTAATATACTCATTGCTATTAATAAAATGGCGATTTCTGAGCCAGCTCAAACTTTTATATCTCTCTCAGTTCTCAAAGCAGCACTGTTAGACTTCTGGCTGCCTCGTGTCATGGATAGGTGCAAGCATACAGTTGTCAGCACTTAAAAGTAAGGTTTGAGTGTGTCCGACAAAAACAAGTGAGACATACACACAACAAAGATTTCTAGAATTCAATTTCTCAAACAGAAACTAAGAAGTGGACACTTGCTCTGACAGGTGAATGCAGTCTTTTTTTCCCTTCCATTAAAAAACTGTACTGTTTTAAAATAATTTTTCCCATTATGCCAATGCTATAAAGTTGTTATTATTGACAAATGCTTGGCTTCTGATTGCAAACTGATAATGAAGAGCCATGTGCCTGTTATATTCTCCATCCCTGCCCCCAGCTGAACTCATTGGCAGTAAGATAAATATGAACTGGGCTAAATAAAATGGGCTAGCATAGTTCCAGTGATGACAACAAAGGGCCCCTTCATGTATGTATAGTTTCTTGTCTGTGAGAGGGTGGGGTTCAATCATTGTGGAAGTTTCTCTGTTTCAATTTTGTCTCAAGCAATTTTTTGCCACAACCTCCCAATTTCCTGTTGCTTAAGGGAAAAAAGATTCACAAGGAATTAATCTAATTTTGTAGATAAGAAGGATTGAAGCAAGGAATAATTTAGGAAGGGCAGGAAATTTGTGTGCAAACAGGCCAGGGGTCTGGGGAAAATGCCTTTAGCAGATACAGTAAATAAAGCTACATCACAAGTCTATTGCACTATTTTTAGAAAAGGAATAAGACTCAGAAGCACATCCATTATGAAAGGCAAGTATTCGTATTGCTCTTTCAAGTCATTGACAGTTTATTTTATAGCATTTGGAAAGCATCAACTAGAAGCAGGACTTTCTTTGTGATGGCCCCAGAGTTGTGGACCCTTTCACTGAAGGTACGTTTGTCTACCTTTTTTGGAAAAAGCAAAGAAATGTTCTATCAAGCCTCTTAAACTGCTGATTGCAGCTGTTTATTTGCACTTGAATGTGTTTAGCTTTTTTTGAGTTTAAGCTTTTAAAGTGCTATGTTATAATATCTTTACATTATGGACTTCTCTACAGAAGGCATTTACTGGTTCCCATGATCACAGGTTCCTTTCTTGATGTCAAAGCCTCTCCTATTTCTTCCAGCCATTTTTGGGGGAAGACTGTCCACATTTACCATACCACAATCACCTTGTAATTGTTTAATGGAATATATAGAAAGATAAAGAAATACAAACTCCTGAAAAAAATGTAAAAGACACATTTTCCTCCTGTTATGAAAATGGAAGAAGCCTCAATAAAACAGTGGATTAAAAACTGTCATGCAGAGAAAGCCTATACATGCAGAAACAGTTTGGCAAATGATTATTTGAAAAGGACCATATAAATCCAGAGCTTTAGTTTCTAAAGCCAGGCTAGTACCTATCAGGGTTCTTCCTCACCTTTTCAAGATGTAGCCACCAATCCAGAGACAATTGCCAGACATGCCCACAATTTTAGCAAAGATCATGGGTGCTGGCTCTTATACTTTGAGGAAAAAAAAGAGCTTGGGCATCGGAACTCGACATTTAGCAGGTAAGAAGGTCATCCGCTGCCTGCAGCACATACAGAAGTAATATATTGCACAGGTGCACCTAGAGCAATGGGGGAAGTGGCCCTGTTCACGGAGAGGCTGTCGCAAAGAAATGGCTCATTACAGTCCGAGGAAACTTGATTTTCTCTCCACTTACTTAAGCTACTGCCTCACTCAAAGTTACTTCCACAAACAAAAAGCTAGTAAGCTTGAGACCCACCACTCTGGGTCTCAAAGAAGTTTTGGGGGTGCTGCACAAGCCTTCAGGCAGTACTTCCAGAGCACAGTCACTCCTCAGGGGTTAAGCAAGTGTACTCAGGATCCACAGCCATCGGGGTGAGTCTCACGTATCCATCATTCTGGCTTACAGGCAATACAAAGCAGGGATTGTGAGAAACTGGGTCTTGCCAGCAGTGGGCTGAGATGGCAAAGCAAAGCACTATCCCAGCAGCACAATAGGTGTTCAGTGTGCTGTGCCAGAACCAGCCTTCAAAGCACGCCTGCCCTAAGTTATGCTGCCTCAAGAAAGCAAAGTGGCTACGGAATACTCAATCTGTTCTCAGTTCAGCAGGATGCAGGCAGCAGATGAAACAACTCAACAATACAAAAGGGAGATAGAGGGAGATAGTGTTTCTTGTCTACTGAGTCCTGAAGGGCAGCACAGAAATGTTTAGGGGGAAAAGAATCTCATCAGTGGGTGTGGAGTAAGAAAGACGAACTTGTTTTTCCAGACTAGAAAGAGCTCAAAACAAATTCCTGCAGAGAGGACAGTTGCATTTCAGGGCTGAGCAGTTGCATTCCCCGCAAATGGAAATGTTGTTTTAAGGCCCCACATACAGCCATTCCGAAGTTAAACCAGACCAAGTATCATCAACTGCACTGGCTCTTGGTCCATTCCCAGGCTCAACTCAAAGTGCTGGCTTTAACCTTTCGAGCCTTTTTAGGGCTTGAGAGGGGCCTGAAAGTTTATATGCTAAAGATACAGGGTCTTATCACACCACTGCTCTGCCACACTTGCAGAATTTAACAGGGTGTATCTATGTCCAGATGATCTTATCTTCCATCTGTAGCCCTCCTGTGTTTTCCTACTGCTCCTTTTTGCTTACCATGGTAAATACGTTCAGGAAGAAAAAATAAAATAGCTGTACAATACTGTCTTATAAGTAGTGCTAAGGGTCCCCCACCTAGTAACACCCACAGTCATTCACCTGACTCCCTTCCTCCTCAGTCCCATCTGAAATCCTTTGGGTAGTTTCTGGGAGAAGGCTGCATCTAGTCCTAGAACACTCACTCCAGGAATCTTGCCAGTGTCTGCACTTAATATAATTGTTCTAATTGCTATTTTTCATAGAAATATGGGACATAAATAAGTACATTTGAAAGTTTTAATTTGAAAGGAGCATGTTTTAAGTTGCCTGCAAAATTGTTTGAACAATGGACCAGTAATAATAGCAAATACGTTTACACCATCATTGCTTCTTCAACTGGAAACTACATGTACAAGGGTAGCCATACAAAGAGGTCAAAGCTTGAGTACAATAATTGAAATACAAAATACAAATGTTATGGTAAAAACATGCAGATCAATAAGAAATGCTTACCTGAAAAGTAAAGTCTGCAACACACCTTGAAGACAAAGTAGCGCAAGTGCTACTACTCTCAGTTGAAACCCTATGCCAAACTGTTCTAATATGAAGTAAGGAGCACATGATTCCTTGTATAATAGGAAATAAAAGTAGAGAACCAAAATAGCATTTTTTTCTGTGCTAACACTAGGAGCTTCACAAGGACTTCACTAAGATATCACCAGAGGATTTTATTAATCAAAACACTGATATTACAAGAAGGGTTTGAAATAGCTCAACAAACTCTCAATGGTGTAGACAAGAAAAAAAAGTTAAAGCCAAGTACCCCTTATTGAATATGCACATAAGGTTTCCTGAATGGGTGAAAAGAAACTAGCTGGAGCTGACAGACTCATTTTATCAGGTATTATTCCCTCCCTTAGGAAAAGGAGAAGAGAGCACTCAAAGAAAACTGCCATTAATAAAGGGTTTTAAGTGAATGAAACTCATTGAAAGAAAAAGATAGTTTGAACATTTGTAAATTAGTAAAACTTTGAAAAAATCTTTTTGTGGTGCTTTTCCTGAGATGGAGATGAAAGTGAACCCACTGCAGACTTAGATAGTGCAGGTGTCTGCTCACATCCCTACTCAGCCATGATGGTCACTGATTTGGGTGGGTCAGCCTACCTTCCTCATAGGACCATCAAGATGAAAGAGTAAGAAGAGAAAGAATGTATGCTGTTTTGCATTGCTTACAAGAAGGTGGTATCAAAATCTAGAAGGAAACTACCACTCATATGGCAAAAGCAGAGTTCTTTTCTTATACTAGGCACCCTGACCTCATTCTTCCTACCCACAATCCAAAAGAATCCCCAGGCGTATGACTCACACATATCAACAGAGATTTGTTCTAGAAATAGACATTTATTCTAAAAATTTCTCTTGGTTACTGTGGTTGACATAAGTAACAAAGCAAATGCTGCAGATCTAACTAACAGTTCCTAATTTTAACCAGCAGTTAAGTGTTGGTTAACATGGACTGTCTTGTAATTTCTCATCAAACATGAACTGTTCATATTTCATAAAATATAACCCATGATACCTTGTCAACAGAAGCAAGCTGGATGGATGAATCTATGTGTCTTTGACCTCCCCATTGCTATCACCAAACCTCTGAAAGCTTAGCCAATAGGGAATGTGGCTCTTGGGTTGAAAGTGTCTCCACCCCTGAACTAAAACATTCAGACATCTGTATGATCCTGTTTTAAAGTTTC